CTAGACCAGAATACTGCCTTAAAATATTTTTTAAGCTTCAATATTAAAGCAGATGAAAGAAATTCAATAATCGAAATTAGACCATAATCATTTTATGATCGAATTTCGATTACTGAATAAAAAATAATCAATCCTCGCATAGTGTTGTTTTTGTAAAATATGATATCTGATTATGGTATTAACTATCGCAGGTTTTGTACAATAGGATTTGTAAATTTCTTAATTGAAATTCGTGTCAATAATGTTACGCTTATTTTTTGTTATTTTGCACACTTATTTTTTGTTTCTCGAAGGATAATATTAGTGGCTTAAGTTGGGAAAAAAGATGAAAGAAAACACTGTCTGACATGATAAATGCTATTCTGCACGTAGGTAAACCTTGTAATGTTTTTTCTCGTGAAGTTAAGAATTTCCAGCATTAAGACATAATGAAGTTACATTTGATAACTCTCATTAGTCTTGCTGTTCGCTGAGTATTTTTTCCCTACATATGCTAATAGTCTTGAGAGACTATTTCAGCGTAACCTTAACTAGTAGGTAATCTCACGGGGCTCAAACCTGACGACGTTGCTAACACGAACCCTAGCAAGAGCTGTGCTTCGCAGAATCTACCACTGGATCGGAAACGCGACTCACTGAGAAGATCCGGCGAGAAACTCAGTGGGCTGTGCCTGTGGGTAAACGACGGGAACGATGACCGGTGCTTGAGGTACCTAAAAGCACTGTTAGTGGATCGAGAAGATCCGAAATGACGTGGAATGAGTTTACCCACCTACCTGGTGTTAAATGAAACTGCTACACCGTCAGCATCAGAAATGCTTAAGCAACGAATGCCGCCACTCACCAAAAGCTTAAGAGACTAGGTCGAAATCACAATTGTATTTTAGAGGGAGCCAAAATCGGAACACATGACTTCTTCACGACAGGAATAGGTTGTAGTACCAATCAGCGAAGTCGTGCAATCTTGAAATTCAGTTTCGGTTTGACCTCACTTACCTACTTCTAAAAGTACCTATAGATATTTTTTACGAAGTTCGCTGTCGAAGTTAAGGAAGACCAATTGAAACAAATGATTCGAACCTTTTAGCAGTAACTAATGGCCGTGTTGGGTAATGGCTTAAGAATGTTAAAATAAAAGCTACAGCGCGGAGTAGGTAGGCACTATTATAGTTTTATGTTACAAATTTCATTTGGTATGTCTATAGTTATATGAAACCTCAAGCAAATATTGGTAAATGTATTACAATTACTTTAATTTATGAGGTTTAGTTTCCGATATTCAAGAATTTCATTGTTTATTTCAAACAAACTTATGGCATAAGTACAATTTCTCAGGGGTCCTTTTTTTTGCTTATACGAGTAGGTACGCAATCACGGCCCAACTGGTGATAAATAGTTTACATTTACTAAGTATGTTTTCATTAGAAAAACACCACTGATCTGGCTGCGGGATTTGTTACATCGCTTGATACGAATGCATCGGGCGTCTTATAGACCACGACGACTTCAATCTCTGCACTAAAGACAAACCACTAGAGTATCTACTTGCATCCGATTTTCTAATTTAGATGCAAATCATTTCAATTTCATGCCGACGTCACGATTGTAGGCACACCGTGCATTGCGTTTAGGATGTTAGTAACTCCGATGAAATACTTTCAGTTGGGTTGTCAGTGTTACCACCGGAACACTCTGTAAACATTTTATAACATACGCACATTAGATTGTTTGGACAACGTAAAATGCCATATATAAAATGCCTTAAAAACCTCCTCCGTGCGTCGTATTCCTCAGTTCTGAGGTTCGTGACCTTTACTGAGCACTTTTCTTAGGACAATGTTCCTCCATTCACTTCTGTCCTCGGCGCAGTGAATAGCCTTAAAAATAGTACCTACAGTTCTTTGATATTAACTTTTACGTTGAGTATCTTGAACATTTGGATTGTCCTTAACAGTGAATTAAACATTATACTTTGGCCATAAATACTGTTACAATTAAAAATAAGCAAAATATTACATTTGAATTTGTAATCTGTCATTTTTAAATGATTGCTCATTGAGTTTTCTCATTTTGGCGCCAATACATTGTACAATATTTTGCGATATTAAAATGGAGTGGGGTGATAAAGAGAACCGAATCGCTGTGATTGCATTACACAAAGTAGGTATGGAGCCAAATGCAATTTTTAAAACTCTCCATACGCTTGATATTAGTAAAATGTTTGTGTACCGGGCTATTAATAGGTGCAATGAGAACTCCTCTGTTTGTGACAGAAAAAGATCTGGCCGTCCACGTAGTGTTCGTACGAAAAAGGTGGTCAAAGCAGTAAGGGAAAAAATTCGAAGAAATCCTGTCCGAAAGCAAAAGATTTTATCTCGGGAGATGTAGATAGCACCTAGAACCATGCCGCGTATTTTAAAAGATCACTTAGGACTTGCAGCCTATAAGAGACGCACTGGTCATTTCTTAACTGATAATTTAAAAGAGAATAGGGTGGTAAAATCGAAACAACTACTGAAGCGGTACGCAAAGGGAGGTCATAGAAAAATTTTGTTTACGGATGAGAAATTTTTTACAATTGAGCAACATTTTAACAAACAAAATGACCGTATTTATGCTCAAAGCTCTAAGGAAGCTTTCCAATTAATCGACAGAGTGCAATGTGGGCACTATCCGACTTTAGTGATGGTTTGGTGGGGTATTAGCTATGAAGGAGTGACTGAGCCATACTTTTGTGAAAAAGGTATCAAAACATCGGCACAAGTGTATCATGATACCATTCTTGAGAAGGTAGTGAAGCCCCTTAAGAACACCATGTTCAATAATCAAGAATGGTCCTTCCATCAAAATTCGGCGCCAGGTCATAAAGCTCGGTCTGCGCAGTCTTGGTTGGAAACGAACGTTTCGGACTTCATCAGAGCTGAAGCCTGGCCGTCGTCTAGTCCCGATCTTAATCCGCTGGATTATAATTTATGGTCAGTTTTAGAGAGTACGGCTTGCTCTAAGCGCCATGATAATTTGGAGTCCCTAAAACAATCCGTACGATTGGCAGTGAAAATTTTTCCCATGGAAAGAGTGCGTGCTTCTATTGATAGCTGGCCTCAACGTTTAAAGGACTGTATTGCAGCCAATGGAGACCACTTCGAATAAGCTTTTTATACTTTAAATTGTTTTATATTTATGTATTAAACTAACACACTGTAAAAGTAATAAATGTTATTTGCAATATATATTTTTTTATTTTTAATTGTAACTTTATTTATAGCCAGACTAAGTATAATAAATAAATAAAAAATCGAAAGTTATTAATATCAAGAATTGATCTATTTTAAAATTATTTCGTTATTATTATTATTTTAAACTTATTTCGAGCGCCACCTAGCAGATAACTGTAGAACTATTAGAAAATTTGTTATAATTTGTCAGGAAAGATATACAGATGTCACTTTTCCGGTTTCTTTTCAAACCCTTAACAATAGATGGCAGCACGAAAATTTTTTCATGTTTCAAGCTGTGTATGTTTAAAGTAACTACTACATGACCTGAAAATGTATTTGCCTATCTGTTTAATATATATCCCTCGCTATCCTAAGCACTTGCTGCTTTAAGTAAGCCCGCACGGATAACAGCGAACATCGATTTCATGTCTCGGGATGAGTAGTGGGATGGGATTTATATTGTGTTGTTTGCGAAATCCGGCCTACACTATAAAAAATATATTGCTAGATCAGCAGTCTTATATTTGATTAACTTACTTCTTAACTTACTTACTTAATATGACTACCGAAGACTTATGAATAGCATCTTGAAACATACTTAAGGTCGAAGTCTCAGGCCAAAGCATTTAGATTTAGTACAGCAACTGACTTTTTCTTGAAACGTGATACTGTTTTACGGCTATTAAATAGTAGCACAAAATTAACCAAATTTTTTTGGAGATGTTTATATTTTTGATCATGGAATCATTCCAGAACATGTGCTAGGGGTAGTTACTGTTTTTTTTTTAAATTAGTGATACGTGGCACACGATTTAGAATTAGACGTATCACTCGATACAAATCAATTTTTTTTTCTTTAAAAGCATAATCTAAATAAATTGAGACATTTATTATACTGTCATGTACGACCACCATTAGTCAACCCCTTATTAACATGGCAAAAACTAATATAAACTAATAGCATTGAAGTCGTCGTGGCCTAAAGGGTAAGATAAGGTGCATTCGTGTTGAGCGATGCACCGGTGTTCGAATCCCGCAGGCGGGTACCAATTTTTCTAATGAAATACGTACTCAACAAATGTTCACGATTGGCTTCCACGCTGAAGGAATAACATCGTGTAATAAAAATCAAACCCGCAAAATTATAATTTGCGTAATTACTGGTGGTAGGACCTCTTGTGAGTCCGCGCGGGTAGGTACCACCACTCTACCTATTTCTGCCGTGAAGCAGTAAAGCGTTTCGTTTTGAAGGGTGGGGCAGCCGTTGTAACTATTCTTTGAGACCTTAGAACTTATATCTCAAGGTGGGTGGCGCATTTACTTTGTAGATATCTATGGGCTTTAAAAAAAAAAAACGCGGCGCGGGAGCTGAGCGCCTCCAGGAACCAGGAACGAATGTGTTCATCTACAGAACGTTTCTCGCCGGATCTTCTCAGTGGGTCGCGTTTCCAATCTAGTGGTAGATTCTGCGAAGCACGGCTCTTACTAGGGCCAGTGTTAGCAAATTCTCTCAGGTTGATCGCGTGACTCACTTACCCGTCCGGCATATCTGAAATAGCCCCTTAAGCTACCAACAAATAGGTACGGAAAAAACAGGTACAAAAATACTTTTGATAGTTCCCACCTCATGTCTCAAAGCGAGTTTCTGATGTATCTGAGTTCCTATAACTGCGTAATACCAACCGGATCTGACGTTCAATCATGTATGCGATAGTAAAAAAAAGAAAAGAAAAAAAAAATTGGTTCAAACAATACGGGAGGCTAAAAATTAAAAATCATTTATTTTTATTGAATTTATTTATTCATCAATTTCAAAACTACACCTTCAAATTACATTGGTTTATAACTACTAAAAGCTATAAAATTTTTACCTAATTTCTGATCCGGACCTACTACACTTTTGAAAAATTTTGACACAGATTTCCGTAACATCCAATTAATAACGTATCCATTAATCATTATTCTACGTTTCATTACGCATCACTACATAAATTGTTACTCTAATAATGTTACATGAGTGAGAACAAATAAAAAGCTTATAACGTTCAAGCGAATAGCGTTCAAAAATCGCGTATTGGCATGATCGTGGACCCGAAAATTGTCTCACTCAAGTAAAACGCAATCACTAAAACGGTAATAATAATTATATTAAAAATTAGTCTGCAAAAGCTGCTCTGCGGTGGTTGCATACTGATAACACACACATTCATACGAGATATAGCTCGTTACTATTAAAATCTAAACGCTATACATGAAAACTTTTAACTCCTAAGCTTAAATTAACATAACGCAATTTAAAAGTTTCAATAAACACGTTTTCAAAAAATTTCAGGTACATAAAATTAAAATTATATCTAAGGTAACTGATTAAGAGGAAGTTACATTTGAGATCGCTTATATTATTACACAAGAGAAAAAAAAATACACATTTGATATTATAAGTTACTTCAATCGCTAATTCAATACACAATAAATACGATTAATAAATGTTTAAAAGATACACATTTTTTTGGCTTTCATTGTAACAAACACAAAATCACAGAAATAATTCTAAAGGTTTCCCATACATAGTGATGTATGTAGCTTTATAAATGTAACAGTTAAATGAACAAAAAATAATAACGTCTTCGTCTATTTAATATCCCAAAAATTAACTTAATTAAGTACATATCGTTACATTGTCAAAAGATTATCGTTTTAAATAAATACACAAACCAAATCTTTATATATTCACTATGTATCGAAACCTAGTTAGCTGCTGCATAAAGTAAATACTATAACTAGATCGTTGTATCTAAATTATTATGAGTTAAATAATGAAATCAACATAAAACCCTTACAGTGCATCAGCAATATTACGTTTAAGAGTATACCATGAGTTATTTGTCAATTTGTTCACAGGATTATGTGCTTTAAAACTAAAACGGATACCAAACAACATTTTATAAAATAGCATTCGTTAATAAGCATGCTATTTTTCAGATAAATATTAGTAATCAGTTGTTTAATGCACTGCACTATTTTGTTTTGTAATATTATTATAGCATTTCTAGTGTTTTATGTTGATATTAATGATAATCGAAAAACCTACCGAGGGCCCCATGAATACTAATCCTACTTAAGTCTAAAATTAACAAAACATAAATAAATCGTTGTGAACTGACATAACACGTGCTATATTTATTATTTTACGTGCTACTGGTTCAGAAACCTCTCATGCTGAGTGAATACTTAGGCTTCGCAAAACGATTACAGTGAAGCCGATAAACTATATTAAGATCCCGTAAAATGTGTCGGTCAAATAAGTTTACGTGGATAGCATTACTTTGCTCACATTCGTATTACCGACTCGCGTATATTGATCGTGGTCGCAAAATAGATATGACACCATTCGAAATCTCTCCCGCTATTTTTATTACTGTAATTGCTGGCATTAGCCGCACATGTTTAGTAACGAAGGAAACATAAATTTCTTATCTATTTAATATTCATTTTTCTGGTATGAATTCTAACTCTTCAATCGCTACGAGTATAAGGTAAGAAATACTTGAATTTATTATTATAAAGATTAATTTCAGATATCATATAATCACATGGTTATACAAAAGATAGTGTAAAAACTTAGCAATGAACCATCGCTCGGGCTACAGATAAAATTGTAATGAAGCTTAATAATATATTACTGACCTAAGTCATTTACGAACGTAATAAATATTGTAGGCGTCTTAATTAAAACACAGTGAGAATATTCTCTGCGTTATCAATTTTCTGACGGAAATTGCTTCGTAACATTTGAGACAGCTGTGTCGATTTGTGTAACTTAATTTCTAACTTTTAAAGTTACTATTTTAAATCCTTTACACTGTTATTTATATGTAATCTATGATAATTTGCAATGTCTATTTGTAAATTATCTTAATCGTAGTTAGATTATAGGTTCGCTCTAATTTCAAAATAGCAGCATACAAAACACACATATTAAGTTTGTTATTATCTTAAGAGTTATCTTAAGTGTATTTTTCTAGAAAAAAATTAAGACGATCCTAGTTTTCGGGTAGTCAATTTTATCGTGTATCTCTTTTGGATGTTAAGCAGACAAACTTGGACCAATTAAACGGTTAGCAAAAGCAATTTGCGGAACATGGATGATGATACTACATATATTAAGACGTATATATAATTCCACGTGTAAAACGTAAAGTAATTTGCGCAATTAAAAGAATTATGTTGACGTGTCAAAGTGTGAGAATACATTTTAATGTTATTAGCAATTCGATATATATATATTTTCTGGATAATTTTCAAATCATTCATGATATTAATCGCGGAAAAACAAATATACTAAAAGTAATGATTGCTGTTTTAAATTCTCTGTTCGAACCAGTTTAATCAAATCTACATTGTCATCGTCGAAATACAATTCATTATTTAAAGGAACTATTTCGGTATGTTTCCATAAATTCTGATAACGGCTCTATTACAAACACAAATTATCGTTTGTTGATAATTTTAATTAAGTATGATAACGAACTAGCTGCCTTTAAAATTTAGATAATGATTTTTTTGAATTTTTCGTAATCCATTGATTGGTCCGTTCCGAAATGTATCCGTGCAATTATCACGAAAGCAATAATATTATTTTGTAACTTTAATGACTCGCCGGTTTTAATAAGTACAGGTGCCGAACATAAGGTTAATCACTATTGATTATATCTTTTACGTTAATCGATCTAAATGAACTAAGAGAGATACGCACGATAATTCGATAGCACTGACTAATCAAGTTTTATCGATATATATTATTTTTTTCTAAGCTAAACAATCAGTTATAACATGAAGCGAGATACAAAATTACATATATGTAAATACAGGAGGATTACGTGCGAATAAAAAAAGGTCACGTTACATAATTAGCTGTGATATCGACTAGCTTAAATAAGTTCTACGATGAGCGATTATGATGAAGTTATGATGTTTTATTGGCGACTATGCCGAGACATATCCTAAGGTATTCTTTGGTATTCTTTTACTGGAATCTAATTCTAAAGTTAAATAAATAGCTCCCTCACAATTGTGCTGTCATCGTCTTTGATCGACTATTTACACCTTGGCGTCGAACGTTCTAGGCCCTCTGGCCATCGTGCGGGGCGCTCCGAATCCATCCCAATATAATTTATTGGGTATATTCAAAGCAGGACAGCGGGTAGGGGTGTAGACAGTGCCATGTGTTCTGCTCCTCTCACGGGGAGTCTTTGGGCCGTGACGTAATGCCTCATCAGAGCCGGCACCGAAGGGAAAGCGGTAGAAGCACCGCCCAATGTGTAACCTTCGGCACCTCGGCAGATACGCATATGCATGAAACCGCGCGTTGACCTGAAAACGACCGGTGATTGGTTAAAACATTGCAGGCGGAATCATAAAACTATATTCTAAATTTGAAGTTGTTTGAAGTTTGTAAATGATTTATCTATACAGGGTGTTACAAAACTATCCGTAAAGCCGAAAGGAGCTTAAATGGGGCCTTATAACGAGTTCATTCACAATATGTAAGAACCGCAGTAAGGATGTATAACATACCACAAAAAATTCAAAAAAAATTAAATTATTATTTTCACTGATCCATATTTCAGTAAAATTAAAGAGTAAGCTACTACGCAGAATGTACCTACGTTTCTACTTAATTCGCGGAACGACAAAAGTATTAAAAGATTTGAAATTCATTTTTTTTTTTCAACTTGACATTTTTGGATGCCAGTACGTGAGTACTTGAGTATAATGATAATAAATTATAAAGATAATAATTTGGTAATTAATTTTATTTTTTACGGGGTATTTTGTAACACGTTGTATATTCCATACGTGAAGCGAAAACGTTGTACCGCTTTTTACGGAAATTGCACTTACGGAGGAGCATGAAATTTTCCACACTTATAGAGAATATTGAGAAGGAGTGCAAAATGCTAATTTTTTTTTAATTATACATAATAAATACATTAAATCAATAGAAAAAACATTACGCACACTACCATGTATTTGACAAACGCACGCATATATGAGTCGACTATTATCAAAGGCGGCAATCTGACTTTTGGACAATGATTGGTAAATCAGAAAAACGAATTATTGACTTTGTATTCCATTGGCAGTCACAAAACTCTTCGGAACGACATTTTAGATAAATAGCAGGTTAAGTATTAACCTTTATTTAATGCAGGTTTTGAACCGTATTCTTAACCGTATTCTTAGGAGACGATTATATTCAAATAAATCTGTATTGACATATCAATAAAAAATTTTTGTCCAAATGTACAGATTGCCGCCTTTGATAATAGACGACTCATATACTCTTTTGTTAATTGTTAACAGTCTGTGGTCAAATTGAGAATAGTTTGAGATAGAGAATTGAGATTAATATTTTTTGTCTTCAATATTATTTGTCTTTAGTGTAGCTTTGGCGAAATCTGTGATTATAGAAGTATATACTTCTAGTATTTCACAATAGAACCAATAATAATATTCAAACTATAATTTCAAAATAATTATAGTGGAATTTCGATTACCGGGGTACAATTAGTTTGAAGTAAAAAAGTTATAGAACGTGTTTGTTTGTGTAACCAAAAATTAAACACATAGTATTTACATATTTTGCATGGTGGTAAAATTGCTGATCTTGAGCACCCGTCTAGGTACTGCTTTTACTACCCGCCTATTTCGGCCGCAAGCTACGCATTTCGGTTTAAAATATGGGCAGCCTTTATACAATTTAGGCTCCGGTAACGACTTAACAACACAAGATAAGTCTCAAGTTCATTCGTCCATCGTCCGGCAACCAAAAATGAAAATACGTATTAAGGAAAAACTAACATAAAATTGACTTGTGTTCTAATCATATTATCTTTAAGTAAATCGAGTCCTTCGAATATTTAGACAGCTAAAATAGGTAATATATTAGTAAACTTACTTTAAGCTAAGTGAATAATCGTGTTTCGCTGATTCACTGTTTCTGACCAAAAACGCGCCTTCGTCGGCATCCCTCAGCAGACTCTCGGCTTCAACGCGCGCTAACGTCCCATGATACCACCTAGGTAACAAAAAGAAATACATTATTAATAACCATTTTTATTCATTTATGGCTTAGATGGGTGGACGAGCTCACGGCTACCGGAGCCCATAGATAATAGCAACGTAAATGCCGTCACCCACCTTGAGATACGAGTTCTAAGGTCTCAGTATAGTTACAACGGCTGCCCCACCCTTCAAACCGAAACGCATTCCTGCTTCACGGCAGAAAGAGGCGGAGTGGTGGTACCTACCTACCCGTGCGCACTCACAAGAGGTCATACCACCAGTCATTACGCAAATTATAATTTTGCGGGTTTTATTTTTATTACGCGATGGTATTCCTTCACCGTGGAAGTTAATCGTGAGCATTTGTGTCACAGTTGTGCATCGTCTTTCATTAGAAAAATTGGTGCTTGCCTGCGGAATTCGAACACCGACATCGGATCGCTCGCCACGAATGCACCGGACATCTTATCCTTTAGGCCCCGACGACTTCACGATGACAATGTAATATAGATTAAAAGTGAACCAGGAAACACGTACCCTTGACGGTCAAGTGGAAGAGTGGCATCAACCAGATCTCGGGGCGGTGCTATAGGCCCCAAATTCAAATGCAATCCTTTGGATCCACTAGAGCCACTGCCGCTATCAAAGTTCAATTTCAAACTCGATTTGAGTTTATTACCTGAAAGCCAAAAAAACATAATACATTGTCAATCACAATCTATAGATACTTGAAGGAAACAAAGTCAATAATAAGCAACAGAAACGAAAATGTCAAGTTCTATAAAGAATCATGATAAGCCATCCTCGAAGTAAGAGAACGCTTAACTGAAGCAAACGTTTACAAATTGCTACGAACGTTTGGAGGGCAAAACTTTCCTCAAAAAGCACTCAAGCAAATTAAATATTGGAGGGCGTTAGACCAGAGGATTTCGCGTGCAACCCAGAGTCATACGTCTTAATCGGCATAATACCTTAGCGTTTGCCTCTATTTCGATAAATCTGAAGATTTGACTCGACACACCCTTCTGTAACTCTCTTTTAGATAGACATGTAATTGTATTCGACTTAATCTTATTTCAGAAACAATAAATCGAATTGTTTTTAAGTAAACAAATTATCCATACCTTGGTTTAAATCTTCGACGCTTTGACTAGATGAAGCATTAGAAATGCCTCCTCCAAACTCATCATTGAGTTGCAAAGATTGGCCCCGTAATTTGCGACGCAATTTCGGCATGTCAAATGGCAAGGTTCTTAAGTCGGCTTCGGCTTCTGCTCGTCTCCTCCTCAATTTCGGCATGTCGAACGGCAAATCAGATAGATCGACATCATCATTCTTGCGTTCTTCTCCAGTGTTGCTATTCTTAAAATTGATGAACGCATTTCTGGAGTCAACACCTTCTCTTGAATGTATCGAAATACCACTGTCGGAGCCTTGAATTTCAGCATCACCAGTAGCCGAATGTCTGAATGTGAGATTCAGTAGATTGCGATTTTGTAACGCTCTACGTTTTGGTTTGGCAATAATTTCAACAGCTGTTTGGATTGTGGCATTGCCCGTATCCCCTTCTTCGGGTGACACCTTTTGGGAGTTGTTATTCTTATTGTTATCGGAAGTTTCAGATGCTGGTTCCTGTGAAGACTTGTCAGAAATGGGACTCAAGATGTTCAATTTAGCCGGATGGTGATGCCCAANATTGCGATTTTGTAACGCTCTACGTTTTGGTTTGGCAATAATTTCAACAGCTGTTTGGATTGTGGCATTGCCCGTATCCCCTTCTTCGGGTGACACCTTTTGGGAGTTGTTATTCTTATTGTTATCGGAAGTTTCAGATGCTGGTTCCTGTGAAGACTTGTCAGAAATGGGACTCAAGATGTTCAATTTAGCCGGATGGTGATGCCCAAACCCTAATTGCATGTGATGTGATTTCGAAAACGGAACATTGCCTGAATCTGAGCTGTGAGAGCTTAAAGAAGACGAATGACGACTTTCAGAACTGCTACTGCTTCTATCGCCTTCGCTATTGCTACTGCGCAATGATTCCATGCTTCCGCCACTGCTACTAGTGGCCATGCTTTCGGTACTAGAATATTTACGTCGTGGGCGAATCACGCCCGGCCTGCCCTTAAATTCCATTATAGGACCGACCCCCTTTGGCCCCGTGTACCGATTCATTTCAGGTGTGTCAGAATCGGAAGTGGGTCGGCCCTTAATCTCTAAAAAAATACCGTCTTTAGATTGTGCTCTTTCATCATCGCCATCGCGTGACTCGCGACTAGAATCCCTTAGACGTCCAATATCAAGTTCAGTTGAAACTGAACCTTTCACATCCATACTAGCGTCACTGCTTGTCGGGGTATCCCGAGCGCGCAGTGACTTAACAGGCAATCTCAAATCTTTAAGACGAGGATGTGCTGGCTGTGCCTGCGGTAAGTTGGGTGCACTTTTTATACTATTCATTGCAGAGCCATCTTTTTGTTGAAATTTTGTTGGCAAGGGGGCCGTGGATGGTGGTGATGGTGTGTAACCTCGCAGAGGCAATTGAGAGTTTGAAGCGACGCGTTCTTCGCCTTCAATGTGCACTTTTTCCAGTTCTTCTGACAAGGCACATGCATTGTTTTCATTTTCCCTTTTTTGACGTATCGTCGGGATTTTAGAACGACGTACGCTATCTGTTTTCATCGTCACCTTACGGCGACCCTTGAAATCGGGTTCACTGCGTTCAACTGCCTCAAACGCTGAAGATGCTGAAGAAATGATTTTTCGTTCTTCAGCTTGCAAAAGTGCAGGATGATTACTGACTCGGTCGAAGTCATCCAAATCATCATCAGAACGCGCAATCTTGCAATCAAAAGCTGTTTCGTATATCTGTCTGGTGGTCATTTCTTGCGGCCAGCGAGGCAGAGGTGCCGGCACGTAAAAGACGCTACGTGAAGCGTGATGCTCCTCTACATCTTCGGGCGCGGCGCACGCGCAGCCGGCCGCGTCGCGCCCGCGACGCCTTGGCGGCATCCACGCGCTCTCACCTGACGAAGAAGAGGATCGGTCTAGCTCACGAAATCCATCTTCAGCGACTGAGAATCGTTTAGGAAGATTTGGCCGCGGAGCAACGTGCGGAGCGTCTAGGCTAGCCGATTTTCGGTAACGAGGTCCTCGTGAAGATGAAGTAGACGAAACAGTTGGCGCTGACGGTGCCGGTGGCGGAGGAGCTGTTTTAAAAAGATCGCCGTAATAGTACGGACTTGGATTTCTACGCGGCGCGTTGGCGTATCGTGGATCCGAACGACCACTGTCAGGTGAATGTAGCGACGGTGCTGTCGCAAAAGGATCGAATTCTCCGAAATCGTCGTCTTCTTCGTCTTCAGATGTCGACGAGCGATCGTCTGATGATGATTCTATAACAACATGAAAAAATATTAAAATACCTAAACGAACAAGAACATGAAAAGGACGTATTCTTTTTAACTATCAATTATTTTTAAAATGTTAGCGCATTAAGGCATAAGAAAGCTACCGTCGCTAACGAGCCAGACGCCGATCCAGAGTTTTCCTTGTACTTTGCGGCTGTCTGAAGAGCGTGCTCAAGAGGTCTTGCGATTGTACTTTTTACTATAACTGAAGCGGCGGAATCAACTCAAAGAAATAACATTAATGTCAATAAAATCTGATATGCTGTGGTGTTTTCGGCTACATTATTTTATCACTCACATAAAACGTAAACGTTGATTTACTATCTAAAACAGATCCGAACTATAGATGGCCACTTGCGAAACTTTATCTACCCAATGATTTCACGAGGTCAATTCAAATAACATTATCATTTTGTTTATTCTTGAATATTTTATTGAAGGTTGAAACATAAAACATAAAATATTTGAATAATATGTTAAAACATAAAATATTCGTCTTGCATTAAAAATGTGAATTTCCATTTCAATCGACTAGAACGACTTTCATCTGTTTAATGTTAATAAGCCTACATGCTATGTGATGCTAATGCTATTCCGAACTTACACAAAATACCCTAATGAGAATCCTTTTGCTGTTACGCCAACAAAAGTGAATACTTCATGAACATAAAAGTCTGGATTTAAAACCCTCGAGCTGCGACGATGGGAAATAGCTAACGAATCGTATACCGAGCTCTGTATGTACGCTACTCTATAATAAACTTTTTGAAATGTTTTCCTACGTAAGAACGTTGTATGCTTTTGTTTTAATTCCGCGTTTTCTGTGCGCTCATTTAGATTATTCCGTGGAGCATTGTTTGTTGTTAATAAGGCTTCTTTATTATTGTCGTATAAAATAATACGATACTATCGTTTCTAGTTTCAATTGTGTTGCCGTTGTGAATTTCGCCGTATTATTAACCGGCTTCAAAAAAGGTGGAGGTTCTCAATTCGACTACATGCTTTTTTTTTTTTGTTAATTTGTTACCTCATTGCTTTTGACTGGGTGAATCGGTTTTGATGATTCTTTTTTTATTAGAAAGCTGAAGCTTCCCGTGTGGTCCCATTTCAATTTAGTCCAGTTCTGATAATGGTATCCATAAGAAAACCATATAAGTCTTAAATTTGCATCAACTCAATATCACGCCAACCGATTTCGATGATTATTGTTTTTAGTGTATATTAATTTGTTTTGGAATATCTTTTTTTTTCTATTCGAAGTCGGTTTTTGTTAAAGCATGTCTATTTACAATTATTATTTGTCTGTTTATGTAAGTTAATGTCATCTAAATGTGGCATTGTTGGTAAATCATTGCAACTGTTTACATACACCTTTATAAATGTATACATTTTGAAGTACAATACAGACATTAAAATTGTAAAATTTCATCTAATTGATTTACAGTGGATACCGCATGAACAAAACGACGCAAAACCGGACAGATTGTCTATTAGCGACACCGGGACTACTACTGGAGGGTAAGTCATGTCATTACGTGTCGTAATTACTTTTCCGCGTGGATGGTCGTCTGGCCGCGACTCTAAATTTGTTAAATTGACGCGATTAACGTGTTAAATGTCTTTCTGAAACGTGTTGGCAATGAAACGGTTGAGGTAATCGACTTGTGTGTGCTCACTGATTTGGCTGTTCACTAAATTTAGAAGCTTTTGTTTTACCATATGAATCATGAAAACAATAGCGTGAACAATTGAAACAAATTGATGCTTCGCGATAATATGTTTCGCTAAGTAAAATTTTAATGTAATCTATATATCATCAATACGAGAAGCAAAAACTTGTTACCCCTTTTTACAAAAATTGTGCGGACGGAGGAGTATGAAATGTCCAACACTTATAGAGGATATAAAAAAGAAGTGCCGAATGCTATTTTTTTTTTAAATTATGCATTAAAATGCATTACATCACTACCGTGTATTTGACACACATACATACGCATTGATTTAATTTGATATACCCTTTTTATTTTATTGTTAAAGTCTGTGGTCAAATTGAAAATAGATTAATATTGTTCGTCTTTAATATTATTTGTCTATAGTGTAGCCTTGGCGAAAACTGTGACTATAGCATATATCTTCGACAATAGAGCCATCATAATGTTCAAACTTATAATTACTCGTAAAATTAATAATTATGATCGAATTTCGAAAACTACGAGTAGTAGGTACAGTTATAATTTCACATCTATACAAATGACGTTCAATATTTTCATTTCCGACCCATTGAGTCGAACAATGGTGACGTAGACGAATTACTTTAAAGAAATGTGCCGATTCACTATAATTTTTTTCTTTGCTATTCAGTGTAGGACCACAAAAGCCCAGTTATTATCGTGAACATTTTTCTCAGTCTAGACGAGCGGAAAAACGACAATAGGCCTGATTAAAACTTGGCCATTGTTGTTTCAATACTATCCGGTATCAGTGACAAGACTCCCCTGTGGATTATAGATGGCTTCTCATTTTTGTTTACAGGTAATCCCAGCAAACTGTTTAATTAAAACAGTACAAATCAGTGCGAGCATATTCTGAACCTGTACATGTACTTCCAGCCTGTCTGTTGCTATCGCGAAGCAATTCTCAGTTTCGCTTTGAAGAGTATGATAATCGTTACACTAACAATCATTGGGACTTTGACCTCGTGTCTTAATGTGGGTGACGTTGTGATGATCCTCCGGTCACCGTCCCCGTCGAACCCATCGCTTGCGACGAAGGGCTCGACGAGCGAATTAACCCATAGACACAGTCCGGTGGTAGATTCTGCTAAGCACTGCTTTTGCTAGGGTCAGTGTTAGCATCACTCCGGTTTGAGCCCCGGGAGCTCACCTACTAGTTAAGGTTACGCTGAATTAGCCTCTCAAAGCATCAGCTTAGGTAGAAAAAAAAAAGAAGAAACAAGTTGTGCTACCTGTGAGGCCCTTTAAACAGGAGTGTCGTGAGCTCATCTTTTTTTTTTATTGCCCTTGTAGGCAGACGAGCATACGGCCTGACGATGATGGACGTCAGCAATTTCAGGGGTACAGCCAAGTCACTGCCTACCTTTAAGTCGTCTTGGCCTAAAGGATAAGACGTCCGGTGCATTCGTATCTAGCGATGCTACGGTGTTCGAATCCCACAGGCGGATACCTACCCATCTTTCTAATGAAAGACATACTTAACAAATTTTCACGATCGACTTCTACGGTGAAGGAATAACATCGTGTAATAAAAAATCAAACCGGCAAAATTATAATTTGCGTAATTACAGGTGGTAGGACCTCTTGTCAGTCCGCACGGGCAGGTACCACCACCCTGCCTATTTCTGCCGTGAAGTAATAATGCGTTTCGGTTTGAAAGATGAGGCAGACGTTGTAACTATACTGAGACCTTAGTACTCATATCTCAAGGTGCTGGCATTTAGATGGCGGTTGTAGATGTCTTTGGGCTCCGGGAAGCCCTTAACACCAGGTGGGATGTGAGCTCTCCACATCTAGAGCTATTATCACACTAACAACATTAAATGTATGGGCTGAATTTTTATTTGAAACTAGCTGACCCGGCAGACTTCGTAGTGCCTCAATCAATAAATAAAAGACCTAAGCTTTTGTATAAAATAAACTTAAAACAAACAAAAAGAAACCGTCCAACGGGGGACACATCAAAGGAAAAACAAAATTGTTATTTTTATTTAATTCCGAGCATTTTCATATTTATCTACCTTTTAAACCTTCCCTGGACTTCCACGAATAATTCAAGACCAAAATTAGACAAATCGGTCCAGCCGTTCTCGAGTTTTAGCGAGACTAACGAACAGCAATTCATTTTTATATATATAAGATAGATTAAATTGTAAGAAATGACAATATTTTCGTGGATCGGTGATGACCTATGTCGAAACGAATAATCAAAGAACCATTCTTTTTTTCGTTTTAATAAACTAAAAAGTAGAATAGATATGTTTCAACCACTGTACACAATGGCTTAACTAGACTCAAGCGTGATTGTTTCAGTGGAAGAATAGAGCTTTTGTTTCAACGTCCCGAGAGATGAGCTAGGACACGATCCTTACGCTTCAGAGCTGGTTGTGTGTGGGAAACGTTGCGGAATCATAAACAATGTTTACGGAGTACTAATAAGAAAATTTTCTCTTGAGACGTTTCGTTTAAAAAAAAATTGGTTGTCTGTAAAGTCGGTTTACTGCCGATAGTTGAACGTGACAACGTCATAAGAAAATACGCCTCAGAGCGAGGTAACGCCGCATGAGTCATGTTTTTTCGTGCGTGCAGCCGGCTCCATCGAACTTTAAGACGTTGTCACGTCAAAAACAGACAAATTTACAAGCATTTCTCTGTATTTGTTCATTAATGTTTTCATTTAATTACGCGGATAATACTTGAAAACTATGATACAGAACGGTAAATGTTCGGTTCAAAAGACTTATACACGAATCGCGTTAAACATTAATTGAATTATTCACTCAATTGCATTACGAAATTGCCAGGATGTTTTGCCAATCGGAACGCGCGAAATAAACTTAGACATTCCGCTAGTTACGTGAAAACTACTTCAAACTTATTACAACATAAACGGAAATATGATATTTCGCTTCATTGAACAGATTGGTAAAAGTTGCATCTACAAAGTGTACGATATTGTATTTTATAATAACTATCTGGTTGCTGATTTTGATTACGCTTATCAAAAATATCGATAAAGTTTTTATCATGTAGTTTACCCAATGTTGATAACTCACTATCTATAAATACAAAATCGGCTAATAATAACTTTCTCAATGATATCAAAATCAAATTTTCTTTCATAAAAGTATGTTTTAATGCTATATTTTTGAATTTATGAGTTTTGTAATTCAATTTAATTAATTCGTGAAGCAAAACCTTTGTACGCCTTTATTGCGCGGACCGAGGACTATGAAATTTCCCACACTTATAGAGAATTTAGATAAGGAGTGCAGAATGCTAAATTTCATTTTAAATTATGCATAAAAAATACAATCAATAAAAAGAACACTAAACACACTACCATGTATTTGACACAACATATTCATATAAACATACTCTTTGTGTATTGTCAGTTGTCAAACTTTTGTTAATGTTTAAAGTCTGTGGTCAAATTCAGAATAGATTAATATTGTTTGTCTTTAATATTATTAGTTTAGTTTTGGCGACATCTTTGATTTTATTATAGAAGTATAATAGTGTTTGACAATAGAACCATAGCAATGTTCGACTTCGAAATCCGAATTTCGACTACTGCGTGACCCCTAGTTCCATTTAATAATAATATTTCTAATAATTCTATAGACTCACCAGATTCGTAATATTGTTGTGACCTATGTCTCGATTGCTTCTCGTGCCTCAACGGGGCAGACGGGGCTGGTTCTGGTGGCGATTCTACGGAGCCCTCTGGGGCGCTTTCTGGGCTCCGTCTGGACACGCCAGGAGCGGATAAGTCGAAGTCCGTACGTCTGGCCGACTCGTAGTCCGCGCGGCGCCGAGCGGACTCCGCGTCGAACTCGGCTCGTCTCCCTGAATCACCGTCGAACTCGCGTCCGTAATATCTCCGACTTTCGTATTCGTAAGGACGCCGACTGTCAAAGTCGTAGTTGGATCTGCGCGACTCGTAGCGCCATCTGGCCGCTTCGGGCGAACGACGCGTTTCTCGGGAGCGGCGGCTGCGTTGTGGCGACCGCCGGGCTGTGTCGCGTGGTGTGCAATACGCTTCTATGAATTCGACCTGTAACATAACAAAACAAATTAGATGAACAATTTTTTTTTTTTTTTGGAACGAAGTTCCTTATGGGACGATGCGGAGGGGTACCCTAACCGGGAAAAACGTCCGTAACGTAAGATTTTTATTAGTAATGCACAGTGTACGACTTAACTTTGTAATAACGTACAAATTAGTAATGCACACAGTGTGCGACTTATTAATTACGCAAATTCTAACTATTTTATACAAAATCTAGGGCCGGTACTCGAAAGTTAATCAAGGTGAACTGTTAATTGTTGCGCATTAAACACGCCCGATGTTCTGCAAGAGTCGTCGCATACCAAAGCAGCTATTAGTCGAGAAGAAGCCCTCGATCATGAAGGTCGATTATGTGGCAGAGTAAAGTGGTAATAAAATGCAGCGGTCACATATTCGGCGACCGTAACGGTCGGTTAGACGTCCTCTTTCCCCTCGAACGGGCGTCATTACCGCGACCCGTTTGTGTTTATGGGGACGGATATAAAGAATATTATGAGATATTGTGCCTGCATCGACGATACTATGAGGTGATAACATTTCGGGGAACGGACGACGTCAAATTTAGTTCGTGTTAGGACAAATTTTTATAACGCCTCGTATCATCCGCACCGTTGTATTTTTTGCGCTAACACCAACCGTATAGACTCGCCCGACACTCGACTCGACACTTGCAACTTCAGTGAAACGTTTAGACACCAAGAACATTCACTCAAAGCCGTATTCTACAAACAGACGTAAATTAACCAAACATTAGATAATTCTTATTGTCACCTGCTGAAACAAAGTGGAAGAATCGACACCAAAACAAGCACCTAGAATGTTTATATTCGAATCTGTTTATAAAATAATATCTGCTTAACCCGAGGGTGGTTTCAGACCATTAGAGGCAGTGATGAGTTCCCGCTTCCGCGCCTCCGGACATGGAGGGTCTCTCGTACCAAGAGTTCTCATTAAGGGTTAAATTAGTTCAGACTTGGAAGGATACAGTTTCGAGTGTTGTTCGCGTGAATGCCGGATAAATATTTCGATCATTAAAATTAAACATGAATAAATTATTAGTAATGATAAATTAAATGAGCTTCGTACGCTTGTAAGTCAGTCAGAGAGAGCACCGTAGTGAATGTACTTAAAAAATAAAAGAAAGTCGCTTGTGCAAAAGGAACACAAAGCATCCGATCCGGTTCTGGCCCGAGGGCAGTTCCCTTTTAAACTTTTCTATAGAAGGGTAGGGACGCCTCATCTGGCACATTGTTTAATGATTCCTCGGTATGCATGAAATTTATTTACATAATTAAACGTCGACCGCGCCTCCCCTGTTTTGATTTGCGATGTCTACAGTGATTTCTGTCTTTACATTTGCATATTTGTTTAATTAAGCCATCTTTCGTTCACTTTGGACGTACCAGAGAGCCAAGTACAAATAAGCTATATTTTTTTAAATCACCTGACATGTGTAATGGTGTTCCATTAGATTCGTTTTCTTCTATAAAAAATATTTATAACGATTAATGAAACTCACTATAAATTCGATGTACACATATTTCATGCATTGAAATTCTTTCTCCAGAGTCAGCTTTGTATAGTCTCTCGCTTTATTTACTGATTCAAATCAATACCGTCGGGCGTAAGGGTTAACTTTGAAAGGGATCAAATTGAATTCAGCTCAAGCACACATGTTCGCATCTGGCCATTCGTCAATTGTATGTGTGTACCTACTATATATTTATTGTACAATGATAGTAGTCAATAGCTGGTTTCCTGTACATATAAATCTACGTTTGAACGCCACTGATAGATGTCGCAATAAAATATTTAAACTTCCTGTTTCTATTGAATCCGTTCTTACAATCACTTCTTGTTTAATATACTTAATAGAGGTGTACTAGTTGATAAAGCATGTTCGGAATATCAAATTAGCTGTTACTTCAGTGAATAAAACAAAACAATGCGAATTTGACCTTGTTGGATTGCCAACAACAAACAAAATTTAAAATAGACAAGATTGTCTAAGTTTGTATATTAAAATATATTGCAGATATATTAAAAATGTAGGAATTTGTCTTGAGGTTCGTTTTTGTCGATATCTGACATTATCGAACATCCATGAAATCCAAATTAGTTTTTTTTTATCGAATTCTTACGAAGCGATAGCGATGCAACAGTTTTCGTAGTAAGATTTAGATTTTTCTAATAATAACGCTAAAAACTGCAAAAGGTACTACAGATTTTTGTTTTTGTTTTTAATTTTCAGTAATCAATATTTCTAACCTACGACCTTTCAAAGCTAATTGGATAGCACTGTTCTTACCTCTATTCGACAATGAAATTAGCATACTTAATTATGGCAGCGTTTACTGTTGTCACTTTCACATTGACTCAGACATAAAGTATGATAGGCAATCAAGAAATCGCCAGCAGCTCCATTTACAAAACTATTTTGAATTGTTAATTTTTCATCGTGATCTACATACCGAAATTCTATAGACGATTCCGGGTTCGCCCGCAATGAGTAATACAAACAGTATGAAGGATGTGGGACAAGACACGAAGCTTTCAGACGTCCGGGTGAGTCAGCCCAGTCCGATGTATAAATACCGGAGACACGCCTGCTGGGATCCCAAGCTAAAATAGCTCGGTTTGGTGTCGCGTGACTACGGTATGGTAATGCGCATAGGTATAGGTATAGGCTTAATATGAAATATCCCCGAAAATATTTAGAACGTATTTTTGGGCCGGTGACTCACTCTATCCGAATACGTATTGTAATTTGTCGCGTGCTTTCTTTTTGAGGTCATCGGGAATAGGTTTAGGAAATTTGTTTCGAAAACGGCGACCGCGTGTATTTTATGATCAGATTATGTCAGACTTACACAGACGTTTGTTCTGTGAAGTAAAACGTAAACATTAGATTAAACATGATGGAAAGATTTAAACGTTGATACGTAAACATATTGTCGTGCATTGAATAACTAAACTATTATTCTGATGTTATTATTCAAATGGTAACCTTAATTTGTAATCCAATTGGTATAATTATTATAATATAGTAAACGCTCTAAAACAAATTTGAAATTTAAAATATTTATAAAGATGTTCCGCTTTAAGAGCATAAGATAGGTCCGTTGTGTTACAGATCTGTTGTAGTCTTTAATTAAGAAGCAATTGCATCCGAATCTAGATCGTGACTCACCTTAATATGATTACCGGCTTTGTTTACAATAACAAAGATAGTAAATACATAAATAGATAGAACAAGACACAATCGCTAAGAGAAATTTAAAAAAAGATAAATGCAAACAATAAAGTAGATCGTACGTTAGAATTCGTTAAGATGAAATCGCATTTGCCATCAACGATTGGCACAGTCATGTCTTATGTACGCGACATCGCCAACTGCCGTCTGGTCACGCTCAGCAAACAGTCGACCGCAAACAGGTTCATACAGCTGAATTAACATTATTCTTTTGCTCTTTTCACTTTCAATGCGAAGCTAGGACGTGCATTTCAATTATTCCAACATTTGGCTTTGAGCACCCATGTCTGTCATATGTCTAGTCACGGGTAGGTATTTGGAACAGACCGTGAAGGAAATCTAAGGAGCATTGAAGCCGTTAATTCGGCGAACAAGTTTCAACCTAGCCAATAGGCTTTAAGGTCTACTTTGTCAGAATCTCGTCTTGCTGAGTCAGAGTAAACTAAGCACGCAATTGTTGGAAATGACAAAACAAGCGAAGGAAATAAGCTTAATTACTGAGTTGCGAGTCCGAATCGCCTAAAGGGCCAAGGGTCTCGTTAAGTAATCCCTTACGACTGTTTCAATGGGGGAAGTAATTATGGAAGAAATTTTCAACACCTTCTTGAAAAGGTCAACGTACTTCAGAATATTAAGAACACTTATATTGAATATGATATAATAGAAATATTAACGATCACTTGTGATTCGTTCGATGAAGTGCAATTGAAATTTCGAATAATTAAAGAATCACAGTGCAAAGCTATGGAATCCGATACACTGCACATAAGGCACTCAAGAATTACCGCAATTTAGAACTTGACAATTCATCATTTTTACAGTGTTTGAATTGTTTTTGCAATTACTTAGTATTTAGTACAATTACTTTGTTGTTTGGGGCTGAAGTAAGCACTATATCACATCTTTTTATAAAAAAAATCTTTTGGTAGAATTGACGCGATCTTTCTGGCATTAAATGGTTACCAATACTCGTGGAAGTCAGCAATGCTCGTGGCCCGAAGAACTTTAAGAAAGTTTAAAGAAGACATCATAGCGCTCTGGGAACACAATAGAGAGGAACTTGTTCCAGAGCCGAATGGTAGGTACGTGTTAGAAATGATCTTGTGCGTAACTTTATGAGGGTCAACCCTACGGTTCCCGGCAGTAGGCATATATTCTGCTTCGCTGATGAGTGGTGCGATGATATAAGAGATGGTAGGGTCAACCCAAACAATTCCTCAAAGCCCTTCTTACCATGAACATACGGTGCAAAGTAAAGTTTGTGCGGTGTTTCCTCACGATCCGTAAGATCAAGATTACCGAAAATCTAAACGACCCTCTTCTCGAGTCAAAATTATTTGACAGTAATAAGAGCTTGGAGCTATATTCCACACGAGGCTTAACCTGTGGCTTAACTACATAAATGTTATGTCAAAATATCTAAAAGTAGATTTTAAATCAACACGTAAATCATTTATCAATGATTTATCATATTCTTTTGATAGCCATCGAACGGAAGATCAACAAAATGAATATATTTTTTAAGCAATCCAAATACGGTTATTGACGGCTTCGAAACAAGTTTTATTGGAGTTTATATAATTTCTTTCGAGATTCGCAATCGTCGAACCTGCCGAGAGTAAACTTTGCTCTCTGAACTTCTAACAGAGTTAAGTCAACCCCGGGGATCGCCCGAAGCCCCTAATCAATATTTACTTACTGCTCTTTGTAATTCATTTTTTTTTGTACATTTGTATCCTATCAAATTATTAATATTTCAGTCGGATAAACAAACAACAAATTCTATGTTCCCATTAACTGCATCCATATAAAATATTTCAAGAAGATCTTCGTCAAATGTTATACATATATAATAATTATTTAATAATAGGTACTGCGACAACTGGGTAACTCACCACATGCACGACCAGGATCCACTGAACCATCTGCCTCATCTTCGCGATCAATTTCTTGTTTGAAGGCATTTTTTATTCGTTCATAAATCCAAATTATCACAATTAAATCCAATAGTATGTTTAGAATCCACAAATAGCAAGGTACGACCACTAACTATCGACCGCACTCACTACTGACACGCACACACACAAACTAAAACTAGAACTACACTTTCACACAAACTTGTTCTTGTCCTATGTACTAAACACGAATAGTTTTAAAGTACGAATAGTGGCTTATCTCGCCACTTATTTGTTAGGTCTAGGCGATTGGCAGAGTAACCTCCGATATAAACGCCTAGGAGAGTTCGGTTACTTGACGAGTCCAACTGTAGACTGACAACACTACACAAACGCTATACGCGAATGTGTAAAACGGTGACTCATCGCCCCGCATACTGTTTACCGAGGCTTGAGTCATCGCGGTCGTAATAGCCCCACCAAGCGCTGCAGCGCTATAACAAGCTACATAATAAACTGGTATATTAAACCCGCGTAGCTGCAAAGCGTTATTATGCTTCATTGAAGATAAGCGACTCCATTAATACCTCCGTTCCGCACGTGTCGTAGAATGAGCTGAGCTATAATGGACCTTAGCTGTTGCTAGATAAAGGCGCCAGGCTTTCGAAACAGTCTTGGGTAACGAAACGTAAACTTTCGCGTTCGTATTCGGTTCTTGAGTTATGTTGTATTACGCTCGACTAGGTCGAATGCCGTTTTGAGGTCGTTTACTTGATACAATGAAATGCCTAACAACGGTAGCGGGGAATTGTCTCAGGAATGTCGATCTGATCAACCTAATAATTAAAACAGATACCAGTTAGATAAGAAATAGTTGCGGCTACTTTAGAAACTATATTTATTGCTTTGGCTCGCGCCTAGTACGGTTCAAACGAGACTAATGGAAATTTAGATGAAATTGCATTTAACGATGTTGTATAGCTACTTGTTAGAAAACAGTTTTTTTCCAAATGGAATTTTTAACGATTCTTTTTGGAGATTTAACAAGTTTTTTTATCTGTGGCCTCACAGAGAATATGCCGACAGAATCTATATATTAATACGTGAAGCAAAAACTTTGTATCCCTTTTTAGGAAAATTGCGCGGACGGAGGAGTATGAAATTTTCCACACTTATAGAGAATATAGAGAAGAAGTGCACAATGCTAATATTTTTTTAAATAATGCATAAAAGATACATTAAATCAATAATGAAAACATTACACACCCTACATACCATGTAATTGATACACACACGCATGCATACTATTTATTGTCAAACTTTTGTTCTTGACGTCTGTTGTCAAATTGAGAATAGATTAAATATTGTTTGTTTTTATTAATATTTTTTTGGTGTAGTCTTGGCGAAATTTGTGATTAAAGAAGTATAAAATACAATCATAATAGTGTACAATCTTACAATTCCAATTAATTATAGTCGAATTTCGACTACTGCGGGACCTTTAGTATTTAAAAAAATAAAGAATTTGTAATCTATAAATGTATTACGTAAATGAACAATTTGTACGAAGTATGAACAATTTTCTCAACACAATTTTTTTTTTATTAATTGTGTACTTTTATATCACTTCAATGTTAATCACATTTTAAATTGTTCTTTTATTTAATTTGTCTCGCATTTTACGTGAGTCATTCCACAAATTTTTAACAATAGGTAAAACTTTTGGCGCTAAATCAATTTAGATAGCATTCCAGCTATAATTACATAGTGAGTCATCCGATATTTTGGCAAACTAAAATTAGAAAGGTTCTGTTAATACACGATTACTACAATGTGGTATGTAGACAGACGGATTACAGTCTGGCGAATTTCACCGTTGGTAATAAAATACACATCAGTTTTTTTTTCCTACCTAAGCTGATAGCCTTGAGAGGCTATATCAGCGTAACCTTAACTAGTAGGTGAACTCACGGGGCTCAAACCTGACGAAGTTGCTAACACGAACCCTAGCAAGAGCCGTGCTTCCCAGAATCTACCACCACTACTACTGAGAAGATCCGGCAAGAAACTCAGTGGGCTGTGTCTGAGGGTTAATTTACTCGTCGAGCCCTTTGTCGCTAGCGACGGGTTCGACGAGAACGGTGACCGGTGCTTGAAGTACCTAAAAGCACCGTTAGTGGATCGGGAGGATCCGAGATGACGTGTTTGGGGCGACGTCGACTGCTTTCCATTCTTTCCGCAGGATCGGGAATGACACATCAGTAAGCAAATAATATTGTAAGCGATATTATTTAACCAGAAGTTCGCAGTCAAGACTAAAGATATTTTTTTGCTTAGATTGGTGGACAAGCTCACAGCCCACCTGATGTTAAGTGGTTACTGGAGCCCATAGACATACACAACGTAAATGCGCCACCCACCTTGAGATATAAGTTCTAAGGTCTGAAGTATAGTTACGACGGTGGCAGCCGGCTGCGGCTTCACGGCAGAAATAGGCAGGGTGATGTTACCCACCCACCCGCGTAGATTCACAAGAGGTCCTACCACCAGTAATTACAAAAAATTATAATTTTGGGGGTTTGATTTTTATTACACGATGTTATTCCTTCACCGTGGAAGTCAATCGTGAACATAATTTGTTGAGTACGTATTTCATTAGAAAAATTGGTACCCGCCTGGGATTCGAACACCGGTGCATCGCTAGATACGAATGCACCCGGACGTCTTATCCTTTAGGCCATGACGACGCTTTGAGTGTCACTTAATAAATAACTAAATTCGATAAATAATATGACATTTAATTTTAAGCTACAAACTGATGGAGAGTTGTAAAATGTTAATGTTTTTTTTTTCATTCAAATCCTACTATTGATAAACCTACGCCCACGTCACGATGTTAGTCAAAATATCCATAAATTTATTCGTACAACAAGATTTACATATTTTATTTATATGCGATATTATTCGTTCGCATAAGAAATAATTATGTAACACAATCGAATCAATAAAGTATGTGTGCGCGTCACATTTTAGATTCTTCAAACAAGTTTGCTTATTCATTTGACGTCAATTGGCTCTGTGAAGTCTGATTTTTTTTCAAGATAATTTTTCCTAACTTTGTTTGTTACCTTTACTTAGCAGTTCCACGTATTTTTTGTCTTCATCCTGTCATGTACTTTCCTGAATTAATGAGTTCCTTAATTGATCAATGTTAATGATAAACATTATTTATTATTTCTTTATTTATTAGTGTGATACTCAGAAAAATATGTGTGGTGTCGTGGGAGACTGGATTTTTTTATTGATAAAAATAATAATAAAACTACTTTACAAAGTTATCAACTTTATTTTATTCACAATCATTTATAAAAAATATATAATAAAAATATGTTATTTTTTGTACGTTATCACAAAGTTAAGTCGTACACTGTGTGCATTACTAATAAAAATCTTACGTTACGGACGTTTTTTCCCGGTTAGGGTATCCCCTCCGTATCGTCTCATAAGGAACTTCGTTCCAAAAAATAACTAGATAGTACTAAGAAAATTGAACACAAAGGCACTGTTTATTTCTTTGAGAAATCTTTATACTAATTAAATGTTTTAATTTCTTTCAGTTTAGTATAGTAGTAATTTGATGTAGGATTAGTATCTTAAACCAACTTAACACTGGTTTTTAAGACGCTAAAAGTACTTCGCTTTCCGCGGAGTACATGCAGGGCCCATTTTGTACCTCAGAAAGCATTAAAGACGTAGTATTTTCATGGAATAAAAAGAAGCTTTTGTTACTTTGGGTCTATCAACTTTTTTTTTAATGATTGAAAGATTAATAGTGGCCCGGAGGTCTTTCCAGTTTCACCAGGACAGATGGGCGGGCAAAGGCTCAGCCAGGAGGGGTGGGATTTGCTAACAACTGCCCGTGCGCCTCCGAAAGAGACCTAACAACTCAAGAGCGATTGCTTCGCGAATGAATCTACTACCGGATCGGAATCGCGACCCGCTGAGAAGATCCGGCGAGAAACTCAGCGGGCTGATGCATGGGTTAGGTTGCACGTCGACCTCTTTATCGAGTTCTACGAGTACGGTTACCGGGGTCCCAAAGCCTGCTCCTAGTGTTAGAACTGGTCTATCAACTACCAGGTCATTATTAGATCCTTGTTGGCACCTAAAATCACGAACCAGCAAACAAACTGTCGTATTTATTACCTATAGCAGATTTATCCTTATTTTCCGGATTATGTCATTTTACTCTGATAAACTCTGCGTTGAGCTAGGTTATAAACTGTGTACGGAATTAAAGAGTTACAAATATGTAAACTTTCATGCTTATAGTATTATTGTAGATTATATAGTAATAATATTTCCCGAACTTGGGTAAGAGAACAGAAGGAACTAAAAACCTAGTCTGAACTCCGACATGCCTTAACACGAACGGTACCAAAAAAGTAATATTATAATATAATATACCTATATTACAATTTATATCTTAATATAATATTTATGTAATATATTATTTGTGAAAACGCTTTATGTTGCTATTAAATTCGCAAAATATATCAAAACGGTTTACTGATTTTGTTTTCCTGGACACGTATGCTGTAGGTAAATTTCCTCTCATTTTAAAGTAATCACTATGACTATTATGAATGAACAGACTGTAGCTAATCTTAGCTTCTAAACTATTATTAAACGCTTCAACCTGATCAAGTGATATAAGTGGTGTATTTCCCATGTTGATAAAATCGTCTCTTTTTTTTTCCTACCTGAATACTAGAATTAGTAGCCTCGAGGGGTTATTCTAGATTCACGGAGCTATTATGTGAGCTCACGGGACTCAAACCGGGGGTGTTGCTAACACTGGCTCTAGCAAGAGCAGTGCTTCGCGGAATCTGCCACCGGACCCACTGAGAAGGTCCGGCGAGAAACTCAGTGGGCTGAAGATAAAACCGTATGACATGGCCTTTACTCGTATTTGCAATGTAGTGAAATTTTATTCATTTTTAAATTATTGTCATTTAACATGAATGCCTTTATGAATTTATTTTATACATTTTGTTATGAATAAGACTTAAATGTTCCAACTTATAATTTATATGGAATATTATAGTAATGAGATTTGATTTCAATGAAAAGTTAATTTGATAATCTCATGCCTCAGTTATGATTTGATTTTAAACCAATTAAAATATTATCTTACGTAGTAAATATTTATTTACAAACATAATTCCGAGAATTCGTTTTTATTAGAAACAATCATTAAATTCTACATTCTACATAATAATATGTACACATATTGTGGAGCAAGTAGGTGGCAATTTGCCTACAAATCCACACTTAAATCTATACTAATATTATAAAGAGGAAAGATTTGTTTGTTTGT